CTTAAATTAATTTCCACATTAATTAACTCACAGAATTCTTCCAAATTTGAAACGATTTTGCTGAAAATTTCCCACTCTATCTTTCCAAATAACATTTTGGAATAAGTAATCACGTAAACTTAATTTTAATTTTAACTCAAATAAATTTTGATCAACTCACAGAATTCTTCCCTTATCCAAATTTGAAACAATCTTGCTTCTTCCTTTTTCTTTTTCTTTAAATAACATTTTGGAATAAGTAATCACTTAAACTTTACTTTTCTTATTAACTCAAATTAATTTCCATCTTGATTAATTCACAGAATTTTTCCCTTATCGCATCCAAATTTGAAACAATCTTGCTGAAAATTTCCAAATCTTTTCAAATAACATTTTGAAACAAGTAATTACTTAAACTTAACTTTACTTTTAACTCAAATTAATTTTCACATTGATCAACTCACAGAATTCTTCCCTTATCTACATTTAAAACAATCTTGCTGAAAATTTCCCAACCTCTTTTTTCAAATAACATTTTGGAATAAGTAATCACTTAAACTTAATTTTAATTTTAACTCACATAAATTTCCACATTGACCAACTCACAGAATTCTTCCCTTATCCAAATTTGAAACAATCTTGCTTCTTCCTTTTTCTTTAAATAACATTTTGGAATAAGTAATCACTTAAACTTTACTTTTAACTCAACTTCACTTTTTCAACTTGTTAGTTAGCCTATGCCGTGGGGTACGAAGGGCTGAATCGAGCGGATTCTTGTTGCACCGACACGCACACCTTTGACGTCCGGCATCGTGGTCTATAATTATTGGCAGGTGAACGGGGCCGAAGTCCGCGGAAAGTTCGTTATACGACAGGCATGTCCTAGCCGCGAGCACTTCCCGTGTGCACACGCGTATATACTGCCGCGAGGAGTCCGTACGGACGTTAATTATTATCGACAGTTTCGCGAAACGAACCCTCCCCTGTCTCTCGCTCGTCGCTCGTGGCCAATGCTTCGCGAGCCACGGTTAATTGCATCCAAATCTTCGACTCGTTTCCGATTCGCGAATAAGGGACTAAGGTGCCGCTTTTAAGAGCGTTTGTGTCGCGACTCGTGCTGTTTCTTTAAACAGAAAAGATCGATTGAAATTGTTTAGAAATTGAATCGATTTTTTTTTCGGCGAATGTTTAAACTTACGTGACTCGAGATGGCGTTACTAGATATTATTCGATATTATTTATCGAAAATTATTATTATTTAATCAATTTAGGACCTATAATATGATATAAATTTTCAAAGAAAAGTGGCGTTTCTAGGTATTAGATTCGATAGATTCGATATGTTTTAGAGTTAAGAAAAAGGAAGGAAACTAGATCAATTTAGGATCTTTGTAATATAATATAAATTTCCAAAGAAAAGTATATTAAATAATAAATATTATTCGATATTATTTATTGAAAATTATTATTTGTTTGAGAGGATGTTTAAGAAGAAGAAAGGAAACTAGATCAATTTAGAATCTTTATAATGTAATATAAATTTTCAAAGAAAGGTGGCGTTACTAGATATTATTTGATATTATTTATCGAAAATTATTATTTGTTTGGAATGATATTTAAGAAGAAGAAAGGAAACTAGATCAATAGGATCTTTATAATATAATATAAATTTCCAAAGAAAAGTATATTAAATAATAAATATTATTCGATATTATTTATTGAAAATTATTATTTATTTGGGGTGAAAAGAAGAAAAGAAACTAGATCAATTTAGGATCTTTATAATATAATATAAATTTCCAAAGAAAAGTATATTAAATAATAAATATTATTCGATATTATTTATTGAAAATTATTATTTATTTGGGGTGAAAAGAAGAAAAGAAACTAGATCAATTTAGGATCTTTATAATATAATATAAATTTCCAAAGAAAAGTATATTAAATAATAAATATTATTCGATATTATTTATTGAAAATTATTATTTGTTTGGGTGAAAAGAAGAAAGGAAACTAGATCAATTTAGGATATAATATAAATTTCT